CGGGGCGTTTTAGAACCCCCAAACCACCTAAATCACCTGTCCGATGTCCCTAGCTCCATTTTGCAACACACAGTACAACGACTACGCCGTCTTACCGTGACCGCATTTCCGGAAGCTTCCACTGCGGCTAAGCAGAGAGATAGCGCAAATAATGCCGTCATGTCACTCGACATGTTGAACGCTCTCTGACGTGGTTGGAGGGGGCTCAAAAAGCTAGCGAGCAAACGGACAATCGATGCTCAGCGCGACAGTGCGCCGCACCCACAGTACAAAGTGACTGAAACTACGGGAGCTCCGCTGAGAGCTCCACTCTCAACTTCAAAAACTCGTTGCATGTAATGTGGTTGAGTGTTAAGTGTGCCACGGTTCTGGCCAGAAAAAAAAAATGAAATCGGTGTTTCTATGATCGGGAAGGGTGCAGCTGCCGAACGTCGCCACGCCCAGGCACAAATACTGTTTAATGCAAGATATAAGCTTTCATTTTATTTATTTTTAAATTTGAGAAACATCTTTGTTTCCGTAAATTTAAATGCATTCTTGTTGCGCAGACCATCCACCCTCTCCCCTTCTTAAATTTAAAGTGTAAACGCGATAGGGCCATCCAAAATGTATAGGTTTCCGCGCAATCGGTTGAATTCTACTCGCCCCTCCTCTGCCCTGCAGGACTTGCAACGGCAAGGAGATCAAGCCGGACGGCAAGAACATCAAGGTGGTGTCGCAGCCTGATGGAAGCCACGTGCTCGTCATCGAGAAGGTGGGGCCGGAGCACGCCGGCGAGTACACCGTGACGGCCACGAACGACCAGGGTAGCGTCAGCTCCTCCGCGCCACTGGAAGTGCAAGGTATACGAATACCCGTCACCTGGATGACTGCGCAGATGCAAGTGCGGAAAATGTGCTGGTATTTTTCATGAAAAATTTCAAATTTACTTGACAATTTGTAAAAGTTTTGTAAATTTTCTACATTTTGTAAATGCCCAACATGTTTTGAATTTTGAAAAAAATAATGTTAATACTCAGTTTTATAGTTATACCAGGTGGCTGATTAACCCCGCGCACTTCTGTAGTTAGAAGACTGTACCGCACGCACGAGTGCGGGCGGGTTGCCTACTCACCCGGCCCGTAAGGCGCCGTGGACAGAGGTGATAGGCAAGCTCGCCCGCACTCCTGCGTGCGGTACAGTCTAACTACAGAAGTGCGCGGGGTTAATAAGCCACCTGGTATATATAAAAATTGGGTTGTCCAGTGCAATTTTCAATTGTGAACGCGGCTCATTATTCCATCTGTTGCTGCAGGCAAGACTCGCGAGGGCGAGCCCGAGGCGGAGCCCTCGTTCGTGCGCGAGCCCCGCGACACGACGGCGGACGAGGGCGGCCCGCTCTGCCTGAGCGCCACCTTCATGGGCAACCCCATCCCGGACGTGACCTGGCTCAAGGACGGCCAGCCGCTCGAGCCCTCGGAGCGCGTCAAGATCACCTGCGACGGCAAGAAGGTCGGCCTGGAGATCAACCCGTGCAACCTGGCCGACGTGGGAGCGTACACGTGCCGGCTGACCAACCCGCTCGGCACGGCCGAGGCCGCCGCCCAGGGCAACGTGCGCAAGGTGTTCACCCCGGCCAGCTTCCTGCAGAAGTTCACCGACATGCAACAGGTGGGGATGGTTGGGGAGAAACATAGGTACTAATTAGAATAAAAACACTCATTTATAAAATTA